CCCCCCATTTTGGGTAGCCAGTGTCCAAGTTGCCCATCCCTGTCTGCTCTCTGTATGGAGGGGTGGGAATGATCCTCACTGTAAAGATTTGGTCCTTCTTTTGAGCTAGATGTAGGTCAAGTTCATCCAGTTGTGTCAGTTTACTCTTTTGCTCCTCTTCTTTCTTCTTCTAGTTGAGCTCTGATCATCCAGCCATTGAAGCCAGGTCAAGTAGGTGTTATCTGCAAGTGTGGGTGTTCTTATGTCCATTCTGTTACTTTCTACTGGTGCATTTAATCCATTGATGTTAAGCGTAATTATTGATAAGTATATATTGATTGCAGTCATTTTGCTGCATATTTTCTTGTGGTAGCACTGTTTTCTTTGTCCCACATATTTTTTTCTGTACTGAGTTCCTTTTGTTTGTGCATTGTTCTGTTAATTTCTTTACTGCTGCTATTTTTTGTGTTTACAAAATCTTCATGGTTTTCTTTTTCTTTGTTTGATGTGAAAATGTGTTAATTTTCTTTGAAGTTATCCAGTAATTAATTAATTTCTTCCCCAGTTTAAAGCAGTCTGTTTTATCTTGAAACTGATGATTTCCTTGCCACTTGGAAGTTCTGTAACTATACTTTTCCCTTTTTTTGCTTTGCAGTTGTATTCATTATAAATTGAAATATCTGATTCCCTGTTTTCAGTCTTGGAGGATTTTTGCTTTGTATACTTCTATATCTGGGTTGAATAATTGATAATGTCACTGTGTATGTCAACTTCCAGTTGTTGTCTGCTGTTGTTGGTTCTCAGTCCAAAGGACTCTCTTTAGTACTTTTTTGTAAAGCTGGTCTGATTTTTACAGTTTTTTTAAAATTTGTTTATCAACAAATATTCTCATTTTGTCATCATCTTTGAAGGGCTGTTTTACTGGGTATATAAATCTTGGTTGGTTTTTTTTCTTTCTTTCTTTCTTTCAAAGTTTTGTGTATGTCTCTCCATTGCCTTCTTGCTTCTATGGTTTCTGTTTAGAAATTGATTCTACTTTGTAGGTAACTTTGGTTTGTTTTTTTTTTAGCTGCTTTGAGGATTCATTCTTTGCCTTTGTTTTTGGAGAGTTTGATTTTTATATGTCTTGGTGAATTTCTTTGGGGGGTCATTCCTGTTTGGGATTCATTCAGCTTCTCATATGTTTATCTTCTTGTCTTTCATGATGTTAATGAGATTTCCTTGTAACAGTTTTTACTATCTTTTCTGTGATTTCTTTGTCTCTTCCTGTTCTGGAATTTCAATTACTTGTCAGTTCATATTGTATTAAATGGACCTGGAGATTGCTTCAGATTTTTTCAGATATTTTTTTCTGATTGTTATTCTAGCTTACTAGTATTGAGAGATTTATCTTTAAACTCACTAATTCTGGCTTCCATTGATTCAAATCTACTCATTTGCCCTTTCAACTTATTTTCCAATCCTAAAATCTTAGTATTAACCATCTGAATTTCTATTTGCAGGTTTTATGTGGTCTCCAATCATTTATCTATTTTGCTGATTGTTACTGTAGTGCCTTTTTGAATTTTTCTTTGTTTTCCTTGAATTTTCTGTTACTCACTTAAATTTAAGTGATTTAATGGTATTTAAATATAATTTTCTTGAATTTTTTTTCAGGTTGTTCCAATGTCTTTCCTTCCCCCCCCCCCCAAATAATGTTCTAACTCTACCTCTTGGTCAGTTATTGAGTCATTCTGTCTTGTTTCTTTGTTTGAAATGGAATTGTCTGCTGCTTTCAAGACACTGTTATATTGCTGTATTTATATTTAGTTGATAATTATATGTTGGTGTATTCTTAGGCATTCTCTAAATACCTCATGCTGGATGTGATCAGGAGATGAGCTTGTGCACTTTTCTGTGCTCACTGTTGATGCAGTTCAGTTTAGGATGGATTTGGCTGGTATTGGTTGTTTTCCATTGTATAGCAGCTGGTATTGGCTCTTGCCCAATGGGTGGAGCTTTAGAGGGCACAGTTGTAGCTGAACTGTATGGACGGATGTGGTGCTGTGTTCTGTTGGGTGAGAAAAAGCACACGCAGAATATTGAAGGAAAACAAACACAAACCAGCAGTTAACAGCAAAAAAGAAAAGAAAAAAACAGGGACCAGCTAGAAAAAGAATATTAGAGATAGTTACATTTGAGTTGTATGATCATTCTCATCATCTTTTTCTGAGTCGTTCCTCCCTCAATAGCATAAACTCACTGCCTCCAAAGGTTCCTGCCTAATCTTTTGAATTGCTATCTTGTCAATTTCATCCCATATATTGTTGTAAGTGCAATCAAATCAGTTTCAACCCATAGAGACTCTGCATAGGGTTTCTGAGGAGTGGCTGGTGAGTTTGAACTACCAACCTTGTGGTTCAAACCGAAATTTCAGTCCCGCACATTAACCCGCAGCATGACACAAGTCCTTGGTTATTAGTTAAGCTAAACTATTGTTTGCTTTTAAGATAGCTAAAGGTAATTTTAGTTTAAGGTTTAAAGATTATCTCAGGGTAATATTTTCAGGGGTTTATCTACCCTTCATGGCTCCAACAAGTCTGGAGTTCATGAAAATTTGTAGCTCTGTTCTGTATTTTCCCCATTTTGATCAGAATTCTTCTATGAAATCTATGATCAAAATGTTCAGTATTTTAACTGAGCATCATCTAGTTGTTTCCACATTTTTACTATTGTGAATAGTGCTACAATGAGCATTGATTTACAAGTCTCTTTTTGAGTCTCTACTTTCAAGTCTTTTGTGTATATGTTTAGAAGTGGAATTATTACAGTCAATCATTTATCTTTTTACTTTTTTGTAAAGTCTTTTGATAAATGAAAGGTTTTTATTGGTATTAGGTCCCATTTATTTTTTCTTTTGTGCTTGTACCTTTGTTAATTGTATTGGTTAATTAATTGCTGAATGCAAGGTCTGCCAGTGTTGCCCTTGTTTGTTCTTCTAAGAATTATATGGTTTAATTTGCACATTTTATGTGCTTAATCCATTTTTATTTTATTTTATTTTATTGGGGTATGGTGTGAGGCATGTAATGTTTCATATCTCAGAATGTGAAAACCCCATTTCTGCAGCATCATTTATTGAAGAGACACTTCTTTCCTCAGTGAATGGAGTAGCCCCCAGAGGGTTTTAATTGGCTGATTTTCAGAAGTAGCTCACCATGCCCTTCCTTGTCCGTCTTAGTCTGGAAGCTCCACTGAACCTGCTCAGCATCATAATAGCATGCAAGGTTCCACTGACAGAGGGGCTGCATTGACCAGGAATCACATCCAGGTGTCCTACATGAAAAATGACGATTCTATCAGTGACTCACTTCGTGGTAGCTGGGAAATTCCCTGTCCACAAAATAGCTCTCCATTCATTTTAAAGATGTCCTTCAGGACCTCTGGGACATGTTGCTATCTGCCAAGCATTGGCAGTGGCCAAAGGGCCTTCAGTTCTCCCCAACCTAGAATTATTGTTTCAAAACTGAGACATCACTTTCTTCCTTCTAGTCTGGCCCTACATGTCCTGGGATGCTTGGGTCTCATATGGGAGGGTGTATTTTCCTCAAACAATTATAAAGACTCTTCAGTAGAGGAGACATGTCATCAGCCTATGGGGACAATTTATCTAGGTTAATGGCTGCTCTTGTTCTTCTTAGAGGCAGAAATGTGACCACATTAAGGCAGCTAGTGCCTGGGCTAGCACCAAGAAGCAGCTTTTTGGGGAGCTTGGCTTGTGGGGCCAGACAGTGGGAGCCACACCTTGCTCACAGTGGGAACTGGACTGGCGTGAAGGACCCAGTCGCATGAGAAGAGTCAGAAGATTGTCTCTACTGGAGGACCTGAGTCAAGCCGCCTCCAAGGTAAGAATTTGATGTAGTGGGGAAAGCAAAGGCTCTGCTGTTTTGTGTGAGGCAGAAAATGTGTGGAAGCTTTCCTCCTTGATTTCGCTCTGTAGTCTTTATCTTTTAGAACAGTCAGAAGTTTACAGAGAATGCAGAGTTTCCGTGTAACTCCCTCCCTGCATATTATTTCTTATATTAACATTTTGCATTCCTTTAATACATTTTTAAAGTGTTGAAGAGCAAAGGTGTCAGCTTGAGTAATAAGGTGCACCTGACCCAAGCCATGGTATTTTCAATAACCTCATATGCATGCGAAAGCTGGACAGTGAATAAGGAAGCCTGTAGGAGAGAATGCTTTTGAGATATGGTGTTGGAGGAGAATATTGAAAGTGCCATGGGCTCCAAAAGAACCAATAGATCCATTTTGAAAGAAGTGCAGCCAGAGTGCTCCTTGGAGGCCAGGATGGCCAAACTTCATCTCTCATACTTCAGACATATTGTCAGGAGGGACCAGTCACTGCAGAAGCATATCATGTTTGGTAAGGTAGAGAGAGACAAAGAGGAAGACCCCCAATGAGATGGATGGCACAGTGGCGGCATCAATAGACTCAAGTGTGGCAACAGTAGTGAGGTTGGCCCAGGATCGGACAGTGTTTTGGTCTGTTGTGCATAGGGTTGCTATGAGTTGGTGCCAACTCGATGGCACCTAACAACAACAATAACAATACATTTGTTACAATTGATGAACCAAAATGGATACTTTATTGACAATTAAAGTTCCTAGTTCACATTGGGACTTAACTCTTTGTGTTGTACAGTCCTATGGGTTTTAACAAATGAATAGTATCATGCATCTAACATTGCGGTAGCACACATAATAGCTTCACTGTCTAAAAATGCTCTGCGATCCAGCTGTTCATCTTTCCCGCTCCTTTAACACCCTGGCAACTACTGAGTTTTTCACTGTTCCTCTTTTCATTTAGGAGTCCTGATATGGTGCTGTAGGACAAGCACTTGACTGCTAGTCACAAGTTTGGTGGTTCAAACCCACCAGCCATTCCTTGGAAGTCCTATACAGGGTCACTATGGGTCAGAACTATCTCTATGGAACGTGACAGCAGCAATATTCTCATTAAACAAAAAATCTATTTTACTGTATTTTTGGTGGATGTGTATACAACAGAATAGATAACTTTGTTTTTGTAAGCATTCTGTGTTGTGTGCATGGGGGGGGGGGGGGTGCTATAGTGTGGGAAGGTAGGAGGGAAATGTTGTTGTTAAGTGCTGTTGAGTCAGTTCTGACCCATAGTGACCTCTATACAATTTCCAAGGAGCAACGGGTGAGCTTGAACCATGGACCTTGCAGTTCAAAGCAGTTTTCAGTCCAGTGCTTTAACCTACAGTGTCACACCAGAAGAGAGAACTATATGTAGCTAAATATATGTTGTTGTTTAGTGCCAGCAAGTCGATTTTGACTTATAGCAATGCTGTATGGGGTTTCTAAGGAGCAGCTGGTGGGTTTGAACCACTAATCTGTGGTTAGCAGTCCAGTGCTTATCCTATAGCTCTATGTCAGGACTCCTAGATAAACACATGAGAATAATATATATATATATATATATTTTTATGTTACTTAACAGAGTAAGTCATTAACCATCCTGGTTACATAAAATGGATTCATGTGATGGATTCATGATGAATTAAAGAGTAACACAGTATACAGCTATGATCATTGAGCATTCATAACCAGAATTGCTATGGGCAAATCCTGTAACAAATTTTACAGTGAGAATCTCTTAAACTCAGGTATTTCTACAAACTCACACAAGTGATTCACTTAGTCCAAGCAATACTGAATCTGTGCTTGATTTTCTAATACTAGAATCTGGGTAGTCCCTAGGAGTTCGCTGTAATGACGCTTGAATTCTGTGCCATCAAACTCACATATTTTCCTTTTAATGGATTATAAAAAATTGGATTTATTTACTAGTGAATATAGAAATATGTTAATAACTTTCTGTGCTCTCACTGAACAGTCATAATTTAAGGTATTCTAAAACTCAACCTTTTAAATGGTTGCTGGAGGCTTCCCTTAAAATCTGCTCCAAGCTAGGGTTACTCTTTTTTTTTCCATGTTTTATTGTGAATTATATGATATTTTTACAAGAGAGAACTTTAGTTTTACATTCATTCCACCATATGTTGTTTCATTGCCATGGTTCCAATCCCCTCCATGCATCATCAACCGATCCTATAAACCCGCCCCCTACACTTCCCCTCCCACCTTCATTCTTCAGCACACAGTCCCTCTCCCTCTCTGGATCCAAAGTCCCCAGCCACTTCATCACTCCACATCATCATCATCTCTGCCTCTATCTCGGGTCTTGCTGCTTCTCTGGGTAGGGTCCCGCTCTCAGCTATTCTCCGTTGATGGTCCTAGAGACCTCCGCTCCTAGACTGGAGAGTTAATCACTCCCTTCCTTGCTACAAAACGTCCACCTTTACATTTCCAACCCTAGGTTGCGCTTTAGTTTGCAACCCCAGAATATTTTATTCACATAAAAAATCCTTCGTAAAACCTAATAAAAATAATTGTATTTCATTTCTTCAGAATAAACTTATGTTTTTAAGTATTAAAAAATACCTAGTGATATATAGTGTTTATCAGTTATTGTAAAACTTGGCAAATGTATGTTTTAAAAAACAAAAAACTGCTATTTCATCATTTTTATATGTGTACAATTTACTGACATGGAATACTTGCATCCTGCTGTTCTACCATCACCACTGTCCATTTCCAAACCTTCTCATTCCCCTTAGCAGAAACTCAACCCTCCAAGTAATTACTTTTCCTCTCCCTCCTGCCCCTGTTTACTAATATACTCTAGTCTCTCTATGTTTGCCACATTTGAATATTTCTTATAATTGAGATCAGACAAATTTGTCCTTATGTGACTGACTTCTTTTACTTTGTGTAATGTTTTCAAGGTTCATCCCTGATGGTGTTTTTCTGTGATAAATTTTGTAGGTAATGCAGGGAAGAAAAATCAATAGCCTTTGCACTGTACAGGTGGCAAAGCCAAAGACTCCCTATAACAGCTGCTATCTAGTCACTCAGGCTGCTCAGCCTCAGCTCCTCTCCCTGATCTCCAGCATGCTGTCTAATCCCATCTTGGGTTATTGTTTTAAGCCATACTTAATAGATAGTTGCTGGGGTTTCCCCTTTAACTCTGAAACATTAATACTTGCATTTTATTGCAGTTCTTTAGAATTTAGTATTTCTGTCCCTTTGCTGCTGAGTCTTGAGCTTATGAGTAATTTGAAGGAGTCACATGCATGTGTTTTTTAATTAGTAAAATTGGGATCGAGGGTATATATATCCAGGATTTAATTTCTCTTTTATTTCATCTTATTTCAGGAGAGCCAAGACAGAAATGATGTTTCTCAAACAAATGCTAAAAACCAAGGTATTTCATATATTCAATCATTTTGTGTGATAACTAAACCAATTATTGTTTTATGTAATATCTCATTGCATATATTCTACAGCAGGCAGTGCTAAGACTCCTCCCATTAAGCTGCCTACCAGAATGAAGAGGAGCCTATTCCAAACCTAAGACACACATTAAAGAAATCTAAGACTTACTCCACTTTGCATAATGCACTAGGTTCATCCCCACTGGTGTGTTTTTTGTTCACAAAGTTTCATAGGGAATGTAGGAAGGAAAAATAAGTGGTCTTCCCACTGTGTAGCTGGCAAAGTCAAAGACTCCCTAGAATATCTGCTTTCTAGTCCTGGTAGAACACTGTGGATTAATGCGCTAGACTGTAAACTTGGTTTGAACTGCAAGTTTGGTGCCTCAGTCTCACCATTCACTCCTTGGAAACCCTAGAGAGGGTTGCTATTAGTCAGAACCAACTTGATGGTGCTTAACAACAACAAGTTATGACAATAAGAGTTTTTATTTTCTTCTTCTTCTGCAAATGTCTTGTTCTTACCAATTTGCTATGCCAAGAACTTAAAATATCCCAAAACATGGAAATATATGTTCAGTAAATAACCCAAAGCATATAGGTTGAAAATAAGGAGGGAAATGGTGTTCATTTTCATGTATCAACTCACCATTAGATATATTACTATATTAATGTGCTCCATGTATTCACATAGGTAAGCCAGTGTCACATTACCCAAAAAGCAAGGCAAACATTGATTTACTTGTACTTACTTACTAACCTTATAAATAGCAGAGGAACACTGTCACCATGAGAACATTATTGAAGCATGATGGAAAGCACCAGCATATTGTCAGATATAGTCCTGAAAGATGAGCCCCTCATGTTGGAAGGCACTGAAAATATGACTGGGGAAGAGCTGCCTCCTCAAAGTAGAGTTGACTGTGATGACATTAATGGAGTAAAGCTTTCAGGACTTTCATTTTTTGATGGGGCACAACTCAACATGCAGGGAAATAACTATAAACATCCATTAATAATTGGAATGTGGAATGGATAAAGCATGACTCTAGGAAAATTGGAAATTTTCCAAAATGAAATGAACACATAAACATCAATAACCTAGGCATTATTGAGCTGAAATGGACCGGTATTTGACATTTGAATTCTCACAATCACATGCAAGGAATGTCAAATTGGACAGGAATGATGCTACATTCATCATCAAAAAGAGCATATTAATATCTGTCTGTGATAAGATAATGTCCATATGCCTAATACTGTTATTCAAATTTATACACCAACTACTGAAGCCAGTGATGATTAATTTGAAAAATTCTACCAATTTCTTTAGTCTGAAATTCATCAAACATGTGATCAAGATTTATTGATCATTACTGATGATTGGAATGCAAAAGTTTAAAACAAACAGAAAGGATCAATAGTTGGAAATTATGGCCTTGGTGGTAGAAACGATGCTGGAGATCATATGATAGAATTTTGCAAGACCAATGACTACTTCATTGCAAATATCTTTTTAAAACAACATAAAAGGCACATGGACCTCACCAGATAGAATACACAGAAATCAAACTGATTACATCTGTAGAAAGGGATGTTGGGAAAGCTCCATATCATCAGCCAAAACATTGCCAGTGGCAAATTGTGCAACAGACCATCAGTTGCTCATATGCAAGTTAAGGCTACAGCTGAAGAACATTAAAACAAGTCCACAAGAGCCAAAATAAAACCGTGAATATGTCTCACCTGAATTTAGAGACCATCTCAAGAACAAATTTGATGCATTAGACATCAAGAACATCATACAGGAAGAAAGCAAAAGGTCATTAAGAAGATAAGAAAGAAAGTAAAGACCAAATTAGATGTCAAAAGAAACTCTGCAAGTTTCTCTTCAGCATAGAGATGATGAAGCAAATGGAAGAATTGAGAAGATAAAAGAGCTGAACAGAAAATTTCAATGGTCAGGTCAAGAAGAAAAAGTCAAATATTATAACAAAATGTGCAAAGACCTGGAGGTACAAAACTAAAAGAGAAGAACATGCTCAGCATTTCTGAAGCTGAAGGAACTGAATAAAAAATTCAAGCCTCAACTTGCAATATTCAAGGATTCTATAGGTAAAAATCTATATTGGAAGAAGTACAGCCAGAGTGCTCCTTGGAGGCCAGGATGGCCAGACTTCGTCTCTCATACTTTGGACATATTGTCAAAAGGGAACAGTTGCTGGAGAAGGATATCATGTTTGGTAAGGTGGAGGGTCAGAGAAAAAGAGGAAGACCCCCCAGAGAGATGGATTGGCAAAGTGGCAGTATCAATAGGCTCAAGTATGGCAACAATAGTGAGGTTGGCCCAGGATCAGGCAGTGTTTCATTCTGCTGTGCATAAGGTCGCTATGGGTCAGTACCAACTTGATGGCACCTAACAACAACAACAATAGGTAAAATATTGAATGATTCTGAAATCATCAAAAGAAGATGGAAGGAACACATTGAGTCACTGTATCAAAAAAAAAAAAAATAGTCAGTGTTCCATTATTTCAAGAGGTAGTTTATGATCAAGAAGCATTGATACTGAAAGAAGAAGTCCAAGATGTACTGAATGCATTAGCAAAGAATAAGGAATCTGGAATTGATGGAATACAAATAGAAATCTTTCAACAAACTGATGCAGACTGTAGGCACTCATTCATTTATGACAAGAAATTTGGAAGACAATTTCCTTACCATATTGTGCCCATTCTAAAGAGAGATGTCCCATTGGAATACAGAAATTATGGAAAAATATCATTAATATCCAAAACAAGTAAAATTTTGCTAAAGATAATAGAAAAACCTATGTAACTGTACATTGGAAAAGAAATTCCAGAGATTCAAGAAAGATTCAGAAGAGGACATGAAATGAGGGATATCATTGCTGATGCCAGATGGATCTTGGATGAAAGCAGAGAATACAAGAAGGATGTTTGCCTGTGTTTTATTGACTTTCAATGTGTGGATCATGACAAGCTATGGACAACATTGCAGAGAATGATTATTCCAGGACAGTTAAGTGTGCTCATAAGGAACCTGTACATAAATAGACCAAGAGGCAATTGTTTGAACAGAACAAGGGAGCACAGACTGGTTTAAAATTAGGAAAAGCATGTGCTATGGTTGTATTCTTTCACTATACTTATTCGATCTATGTGCTGAGCAAATAATCTGAGAAACTGGATTGTATGAAGGAAAACATGGCATGAGGATTGGAGGAAGACTCATTGACTATCTGCCATATGCAGATGATGCAACCTTTTTTTGCTGAAAGTGAAGAGGATTTTAAAATACTTAACTGATGAAGATCAAAGACCACAGCCTTTAGTAAAGGTTGCATCTCAATGTAAAGAAAGCAAAAATCCTCACCAATGGACGTATAAACAATATCCATATAAGTGGAGAAAAGGCTGAAGTTGTCAAAGACTTCATTTTGCTTGGATCAACCATCAATACTTGTTGAAGCAGCAGGCAAGAAATCAAATGCCATGTTGCATTTGCATATCTGCTGTACAAGATCTCTTTAACGTGTTTAAGTGCAATATGTCAATTTGAGGATTAAGATGTGCCTGATCCAAGCCTTGGTATTTTCAAAAACTTCATATGCAAGTGAAAGTTCAACTGTGAATAAGGGAGGCCATAGAAGAATTGATGCATTTGAGTTATGGTGTTGGAGGAGAATATTCAAAGTACCATGGACTCCCTGAAGAGCAAACCAATCTGTGTTGGAAGAAGTACATCCAGAATGTTCCTTGGAAGCTAGGATGGCCATCTAGCTTGTCTCTCATACTTTGGAAAGTATCAGGAAAGACCAGTCCCCGGAGAAGGATATCATGATTGCTAAAGTAGGAGATCGGAAAAAAGAGGAAGACTCCTAGGGAAATGGATTGGCTCAGTAGCAGCAGAAATGGTCTCAACATAGTGAGGTTGGCCTAGGACTGGGCAGTGTTTTGTTCTGTTGTGCATAGGATCGCTATGATTCAGTACCAACTCGATGGTACCTAACAACAACAACAATTTACTAATTTATAGTGAACAATTTCACACTTTTTTTCTTATAACATCAAAGATTTTTCTTTAGATACGGCTGTCATCAGTTCCCTTCCAAACCCAAAGCATCCTCCTTCAGAATCCTCTTTTCAAATTTACAGTCCTGACAGGGATAGAGTAACCAGTAAGCAAAGTAAGTAGTATGGTGAAACTCATGTGAAATTGTTCACTACAGATTAATAAATAAACAAAAGTAAATCTGTGCTTACCTTCCAAATTGGGTAGTCTGCCCTGGAGGTGAATGGATATTTAGATAAATATCTAGGACAATGCTGTTTCATGAGAGTGAATTTTGAACATTTGTCCTGTGGTCCCTTGAGGTTTGTGGAGCAGCCAGGCCTAGATACCCTGGGGTTTCCAGAGTGAATCATCTGGAGGTGTATTACCATATCATATTGTTGGGGACTGGCCTCGACATAGTTGTGTTGTTCACGAGTGTTTGGTTCACGGGGAGGGGGATATCTGGCGGCGACAGGAATAGCAAAAGAATACACAGAAAGACAGAAAGAGGGGGACAAAGAGGCACCCCAAAACCAGGATGGTTGCATTACTGGTGTCCGGCAGCTCTGGCATGGTGAACATATTAGCCTTAATGGCAGTTAGGTCCTGTATGGTAAACATCTTAGCTAAGCGGGCAGTACGCACCCCTTACTAGCTGGTCAGTAACACATGCCTAGTCAGCCGCACAGCTCGTTATCCAATCTGTACGGCACACTTTCACCACCTGCCTGTAATGCACACCTGGGCTGGCCTGCGTCTCCGTTTTATTTAGGGGAGGAGCTTCACACCAAGCTGGGAGGGACTAAGACAAGGTACAGCTAACATCAGTAATTTTCCAGACATTCAGGTAACTTTACATCGTACTTCGCTGGTTCGAATCCCAGGCCTGCAACTTAATTTCTCAGGTTCAATTAACATATCTATAGCCCCTGAGCTCAGCTGGGGGAAGGTGAGAGGGAAGGACAAAAGGCTTGGGAGGAGTCCTGCTGTTTTGGCTTCCTGAGCCAGGTTTTCAGGAACTTGGCTGAATAACCAGCACCTGGGACAGATTTAGGGAAGATGGTTTTTTTGTCTATAGAACAAAGAACCGGGAAGTAGCTAAGCTATTTTCAGTTAATCCTTTGGAGAAACACTTAACAGTCTTGGCTTTAGGAAAATATTACATTTATCGGTGGATACTAAGGGCTCATGTTTGGAATTAATAAAACATAACTGAACACTAAGATGAAAAACAATTTTTTATGACTGCCCGGTGGCCAGAATCTTTTCCTCAGAGCCTGTGGCCTGCATTGTCTGCAACACTCGGGCCCAGTGGGCCTCGAACTTCTGACCAGCTTTACACAGTCTGCAACATCACATGGGTAGTACAGGCATGTGTACGCATTTTCAGAAGTAGTGGAAAGGTGCATTGATATAACCACTATTTGCATGTGCCCTAGAACCTCACACTGCCCCTTAGTAGCTTAGGCATCTGATGCATCCATCCTGCAGGCTTTCTAAGAGCTCATGCCAAAAATGTGTCTCCCTTTATGCTGCTGCAGATGAACTAACACCAGATGAGAGTGAGAGAGACAAAGTGGTGGTGGACTGCACTCAGCTGACATTCTTCCCTGCCTTACATGAAAGTCTGCACTCAGAAGACTTCTTAGAACTCTGTAAGGAAAGACAAGTTGTTCTACAGGAGCTTCTTGATCAAGAAAAGGTAATACACTCCATCAAGATTATCACTTAAAGATTACATGACATGAAAGAAGTAAGCTTACGTGACTCACATGACAGGTGATATCTCCTTTTACTATAAAAACTTCCAATTAAATAAGCAATGAGCAAGATGGGTAAGAGGAGCAGGCATGCTCTTAAGTTTGTGGCACAAGGGTACAAATGGAAGCCTTGTATCAAAATATGTTATAACTCAATCTAACAAACTTAAATATAATATGCTCTAACTTCCTATTTGTACCTTTATAATACACTGAGTGAACTGTTTCAAACTTAGAATTCTTGATTTTCTTATACTTTGGTACCTTGGTTTGCCATAGACTAACTGCAGTGAGAGGATCATCCACACCGTGAGAGGCTCTGGGTACATGCATTTGAACACCCTAATGCCTGTATCCATTCTGTCCCCACACCCCTTAACCTTTAACCATGACTGTTTGGCCATAACTCAGGCCTAGGGGTAAGCACACTAAGGTCAGCCCTCAGAAGGTTGGACCTGGAGGTAAAGTCTACATGGGCTCAGGAAGCAGTCTCAGAGCCAACTGAGCAGGAGATCCAGGGTTCCAGATAGCTGGAGCTGGGTTAGAGTAGGCCAGGCTCAAGGTGTGTATGTCTCCTTGGCATGACTGAACTGGTTGGAGGTAACTCTCTAGAGTATGTGTCCCAGAAGGGATCCCATGTAACCAAGTCTAAGAATTATATGGAAGACAACGCACATGTCTTAGAGTAAAACAGACCTGAGTTCAAGTCTCAACTTGGCCATATACTAAATGTCGTAAATGTTAAATACTAAATTTAACCTTTGTGAGGCTCAGTTTTCTGTTTTAATGTGGAGTTTATAGCTAACATTTAATAAAATTCTTGCATAGAGTTCTGATGTGGCACTGTAGGATAAGCACTCAACTGCAAGGTCAGTTTGAACTACAAGGTCAATATTGACCTCACCTTTCTCTGTAACTAGGAGAACTGATTTCTCCCTCATCAGTGTCTCCATTGCTCGCTCCATCAACTCCTAGCATTGATTCTGCCACAAAATCACCTTCATTACTTGACCTATCTGCCTCTTTCACTGTATTGATGTCCCTTAAAGGAGGGCTTATGAGTTGGGCTGCTAATCTCAAGGTCAGCAGTTTGAAACTACCAGAGGTTCATGGGAAAAAGATGAGGCTTTCTGTTCCCATAAAGATTTACAGGCTCAGAAACCCTACACAGGGTCTCTATGAGTTGGAATCGACTCCACGGCATACCACCACCACCACCACCAAGTTTCTGGAGTCCTGATGGTACTGTGGGTTAATGCACTGGACTGAAAAGTCAGTTTGAACTTCAAGATCAGTGGCTCAAGCTCACCAGCTGCTCCTCAGAAACCCTATACAGGGTCGCTATGGGTCAGAACCAACTCAACGGCACTTAACAATGACAACCAAGTGTCTAATCTCAAACATGCCAAGAGTATCCATTAAATAAATGCTGATAAATGAAGTTTTTAAAAATTTGTGCTCATTTTATTTGATTATGAAAGTTAATGTGTCTACAAATTGTGTGAAACTTTAAAAGATGGATATTAAATCATAGCGTGTATAAAATTAAAATATATACATTCCAGATACTAAAGAATAATTAATAACATTTGTTTTAAGGTGTGTGTGTGTGTTTATATTGATATGTATACAATATATAAACACAACGTATATATCTATATATATACATATATACATGCATACATACACGCAGAGCACTGTGGCTGTTTAGGATAAGCACTGGACTGCAAACCAGAAAGTCAGTGGTTTGAATCCACCAATCACTCATCAGGAGAAGGATGAGGCTTTCTGTTCCCACAAAGATTTACAGCTTCAGAAACCCTATACAGGTTGGCTATGAGTCAGAATCAACTCACTTAACAAAAACTACACAGAATATGTGAGGACAAGTAAAAAATACTGCTCATAATGTCCTAATGCATACATGAACATGTTTATTCCACACACAATCAGTTTAAATATGTCCCTGTAATCAGTAGATAACTGCAAGCAATTTCTTTCAGTGATACACTTGTCTTAATTTTGTTCAGGTGCTTTCCAAAAATGTTCCAATCAAAACATCTTAGGGGATCTGTGGAGCCAGTTAAATTCAAGCTAGTAGGGCCAGCTGAAAGGTTATGACTACTATCTCTTAGGGTATTCCCAAAGGGTTATCTATTTTTATAAAAACTTTTTATTGTGAATTGAGTGAAGGTTTACAAAATAGATAATCAGTTTTACATCCAGCAAAATCACACACTTTGGTTCATCTCACTGATTGCAATTCCCTGCATGTAACAACAGGATTCCTTTTTCCATTCCACCCTCCTTTTCAACCTCTCTGAACCTTGTTCCCAAATAAATGTTACCTTTTTGATCTATAATGGTTGACCATTCCATGGTGAGCATGCTTCATTAATGTTGTCCCTCCTATATACCTATCCACCACTTGGTTGAAAATTGGGCCACAGGGTAACTTTTGTTCCAGACCTAAAGGGTGGCCAAGGTCTCAGATTCCTCCAATCTCTTTCTGACCAGAAAGACTGGTCTCTTTTATAATTTTGAGATTTGTTCCACATTGTCTCCCACTCAATCTAAGACCTTCTAATATGACCCCTTTCAGAGAACTTGGGAGTGATAGCCAGGCACCAGCTACTTCTTCTGGTCTCAGAATTGTGAAGACCGATGTTCATGTGTTCCCTTAGTCCATTGGACTAATTGATTCCAAGCATCTACAACTTTTATCACTCTTCTTTCTTCCACACATAGAGAGCCCAATGTTAGCACCTTAAATGGCCACTTATAAGATTTTAAGCACCCAGTCACTACTTACCAAACTAGAATATTGTCTTTGTGGACTGTGTTATTTCAATTGACCATAATGTCCTAATAATAAGAGATAATCTTAATATATTTTCTCAGAAGATGCAACACAGTTGCAGGGGCTTATGAAGGAATTAAAAGAAAATTTGAAAACAGCATTGGTGAGCATAAGGCCAGGAAACTAGCATCAAGGAATTTTTTCCCCAACATGACATGCATGCACCTGCTCATTCTTTGAGGGTAGCAAGGGCTTTCCTGAGAATTTTATTCAGAAAACTTACCCTATCCACCCTACATCTCTCTTTGGACTCCCTTTCCTTCTCAAAATTCAAAGAATATTTAAAAGGCACACAATGTGAGGATCTCGAGGACACCAAAGTTGTTGTGTTGATGTGTAAATTGAAGAGCAGGAATTATTTAAGGAAGCGTTGTTATTAAGTGCTGTTGAGTCAGTTCCAACTCATAATGACCCTGTATAGGGTTTCAAAGGAGCAGCTGGTAAGTTTGAACTACCAACCTTGTGGTTCAAACTGACAAACTGTGGTCTAGTGCTTTAGCACACAGCACCACACCCAAGACTCCAAGAAAAGGTTGTTGTTGTTGTTGAGTGTCATCAAATTGCTTCTGACCCATAGCAACCCTGTATAGGAGCAGCTGGTGTGCTTGAACCACCAACCTTGGGGTTCAAACTGATGTAGGAGTCCAATGTGTTAACCCACAGCACCACACCAGGACTTGGGGAGATGGAAACACCACCTTCCCAAGTGAATAGACTTAGTTGGAGAATATATGAAGAACCAATAGTTTCACATTTGTATATTTTTGTTTAATAAATGTTCTATGATTTTGTTTCTATGGTTTTCTGACTCCAGGTCTTTGGATATTTCATTATAATACTTCACTTTGTTTTTTTCAAGCTGCCTTTTATTTTCTTTCCCGATCTTTTACTTCATCATTTCTTCCAGTCACTTTAGCTTCTCCCCATTCAAGAGCAAGTTTCAGAGTCTCTTTTGACATCCACTTTGATATTTTCTTTCTTTCCTGTATTTTAAATCTTTTGCTTTCATCATGTATGATGTTCTTAATGTTGTTCCACAGCTCGTCTGGTCTTCAGTCATTAGTGTCTAATGCATCAAATTTCTTTTTGAGAGATCTCTAAATTAAGGTTGGATACTCAAGGTCATATTTTGGCTCTCATGGACTTGTTTCACTTTTCATCAACTTCAGCCTGAACTTTCATATGAACAATTGATGGCCTTTTCCACAGTTAACCCCTGGCCTTGTTTTGGCTGATGATATTGAGCTTCTACATCATCTTTTCCCACAGATGTAGTCAATTTGATTCCTGTATATTTCATCTATCAAGGTGTACACATATTGTCACATTTATGTGGCATGGAAGCTCTACTGAAACCTATCCACAAGAAGTAACCCTGCTAGTATCTAAATACAGGTAACAAAGCTTCCATCATGACAGCAACATACAAGCCATTACAGCACACACACACACAAAAACCCTGACAAATGAGTGGTGACCAGACATAAATATACCTTTTTAATACTTAAGGAGGTTGAGGTTAGAGGGGTTGAGGATACAGATGAGGATGGAGCATTGGCAGTGGAAGGAATAAAAGGAGATGGAAGGAGTACAGAGTGACCATATCAAAAAGAATTGATCAATATTTAACTGATTTCAAGAGAAAGAGTATGATCAAGAACCAATGGTTGACCACGTTCATCACCAATAAGGGGAAGTGAGGGAAAAACAGCAATGAAATTGCGAACTAAGCCCTACAATAGATTCCTGTGAACCCAGGTGAAGACCTGGTTGCCCAGTAGTGTGACTCTTGGGCCCAGAGTCCATGACATAGCCACAGAGGACTAGAGTGGAGAGTGAAGCATCCAGCTGATAAGAAGAGAGGGCATATGCACAAAAACACGCACACTTGCAGATAATACCCACTTGACCTGGCTTCAATGACTGGATGATCAGAGCTCAACTAGAAGAAGAAAGAAAAGGAAAAAAAGAGTAATCTGATACAATTGGATGAGCTTGACCTACACCTATGGATGCAGTAGCTCGAAAGAGAGAACAAATCTTAACAACAAGGATCATTCCCACCCCTCCATGCAAAGAGTA